GGGGGAGGGGGGGGGGGCTCCTCTTCGCCGCTCCCCGCTCGCGGCGCCCGCAGCTCCGCGTCACCAAAGCCCAGGACACCAGTTCATCAACGCGGCCAACAGGGGCCCGGCAGCCGGCCCTTGGCGGGGCCAGCCCCCCCCTGCCCGGGCCCGGTCCAGCCCTCGCGGCCGCTCCCGCCCCACCCCAGTCCGTGCGTGCGCGGCCCGAGCGGGAGTTGGGGTGTCTGCGAGCCTTTGCCTCTCCCTAGTGGCGACGCTCGCAGCGGAGGGAAGCGGTCAGGCCCATTGCTACAGGTTCCTAAACTGAGACCAGGGGTCAAGTGGCTCCTCTGAAGTTACTGGGCTACCAGCGAGCAGGGCCTGCGCGCTCCTCCCCTTGGGCGCTCTGCTGCGCACCCAGCACACAGGCAGCCCCAGCGCGGGAGGGCTCCTCATTTCCCCCTTCCGGGGACTTGCCCCAGAGCGTTCGGGAAGAGTTAGGGAAGCTCTCCTAGCCTCTGAGACTCACCTCTGAAATTCCTCCGCTTTAGCTGATGGGGGCGGGGGCGGGGTGGGGAGGGGCAAAGGGGGCGTTCTTGCGCGCTTACTGCTTGGGTCTGGGAAAGGAGGCCTGAGGCTAATTTTTAAACCAAGAGGCCACCCAGGGGGGAGTTACAATCCTCATCTTTGACCTGAGCGGGTGGAGCTGGGGGCAGGAAAATGAGAACAAAAAGCGATGTCCAAAATTCTGCCAACAGTCCTGGCCCTTTGAGCAAGTGCGCAGGTACTTAGGTTGAAGGCAGGGGGCAGTTCATCGGTGTGTGGGCAGTAGAGATTGTCCCCAAAGCTGTCCATTCAGTCTCACGTGTGACCCAAATCAAGGATCCCCCATGCAGGAGAGGCAGAACGCCTCTTCTCAGAATCCGGAATGGATCAATTGGAGCTGAAACCCAGATTCCAAGGCCCCCCGAGGGAGATCTCGATCCTAGGATGGGAGGTACACAAACTCCCCTGGCAGCTCCCCATTTGCTTCTATCTCTCCATTTCCTGCCTCTTCCCCTGCACCCTCTCCCACTCCCCCAATTCTCTCTACTCAGCTGCCACCCTCTTCTTCATGATTCTGTTCAACAAGCATTTATTTTAGTTAGTGCCTACTCTCCACCCAGCACTCTGCTAAGTGCTGAGATAAAAGCTAAATAAGACAGTCCCTTTCCTCAAGGAAGGGGAGCTTGTAAACCACTGGGGAGGCAGACAACAAATGATGAACTTATCCATGGTTATGTCCCATGACAAAGGTGGGCACAGAGTGTGCTCTGAGAGGCACCCAACCTAGCCCGGGAGGGGAAAGGTGGGATCGAAGGCAGTTTTCTCAACGAGATAAGGAGCAGAATCTCGAAGTTAATACAGCAAACAAGAGGGGAAGGACACTCCCAGCAGAGGGAGCATCATTAACAAAATCCAGAAGACAGGAGGCAGTGGGGTATGTGAGCTGGGGAGACAGCAGCTGAGCATAAACTTGGAGGGAGTCTTCCAAATAAAGCTGGCAGAAGAGGGCTGTATCCCCTGCCAAAGAACTTGAATTTATTCTGCAGTTGATGGAGAACTATTGGTGGGTTTTACTCAAAGGGAAGTCAGTCAGATTTACATGTTCGCTGGAACTCTAAGTCAGCTGGAGTAAGGAACACTGGATGGGAGAAGAGAGGTATGGAAGCCTTTCTGATAATCCAGGTAAAAGGAGATGAAGGGGTGAACTAGGTTTCTGGTAGTTGGTGGTCAAAGGGCAGGTTCAGGACAGCATTCGTGATGGTCATGTGGAAACGCCTTTTAGAGCTCTAAGTGGTGCGATTCAGCACAAGCGTTAAGCTCAGGAGAGCAGATTCAAGTATATATCATAACACACACATATACATTTGGGAATCATAAGTACCTATTTTTTACCTCCAGACTATGTGCAACTTTAAAGCCAATCCCTTCCTTTTCTCTTCCCTGAGCTTTCACCTCCCCATCATTATTCCAAAATTGGGAGCTTCCTAGCAATGGGTAGAAACATGCCTTCTTCCTGTGGGACTCTAACAGGATTTGATCAGTGGCGCTAAGTAAGGGAAATTTCTTTGGTTCCTCAGACCACCCTCACAAATATGTTCTGAACCTCTGTGCTCATAGATGGTAGCATCAACGAACTCACAGAAAATAGTAGATCTCAGAATTGAACAGGATGTTAGGGGTTATCTATTCTAACTCCTACTGAATGCAAAACACTATACATCTTATTGACACTTTGCCCTTTGTAGTTGACCAGGCTGGTTGCCCACCAACATTCATTCCCCTACTTTCTCCTTCTAGTTTCAGTACCTGAATTGTTGACGGTATGGAAGCATCTTTCTGTTGCGGATGTGACTTATTAAAAAGTGCCAGAGAAGAATCATCTTTTTCAACACCTATACCAACTTCAGAGCGCTCGTAGGCTCAGGAGACAGTGACCCAATCCCTGGCTCTAGAAGACGGATCCCAACTGGGCTGAGCCAATCATAATAATCCCATTGCCCTTGCCAGATTAGTTAAGAATGGATATGTGATCCAGCTCTGGCCAACGCTAAGTGCGGAAACTGTTGGGAGATTCTGGGGAAATTTTCCTTGCTCTACTTTTTTAAGTGTTGTTTCCGTGGAGGTTACGACCATGGGGGGCGGAGGGGGTGGGGCAGGGGGGACAGAAACCAGTCATTAGTCGAAATTGATATTCAGTTTGATCATCATCAGTGCTGCACAAGAAATACCTCTGCCCTTCCAGGCAGACGGTAGAATTGCAATTCCTGGCCCATTAGTGAGCGGGAGGGGAGAGTGACAGTACTACTGGTCAAAAATCCTGAGCAAAAATGGTGCACGTCATTTCTGAACCACAGCATCCAGTTGCCGCTTTAAGACATGGGAGAGCTCTCGTTTTCTCCTGCCATGGTGACCAGCGATGCTCCAGGTGGGAGTGGCTTTGTCAGCCTGGAAGTGATGTCAGTGAGGAGGCCCCACCATGGACATGTAGCCTGAGTAAAACTAAACTCTTCTTAAAGCCACTGGAATTGGGTCTATTACTGCAGCGTATCTTAACCCGTCCTGACTGATACACTGAGGATGACAGAAGGAACATCATGAAGCCATTCAGGGAACTTTGCCCTAGGCTTTCACAACTCCGATCTTCCAATAATGTAAGATAATGAAGTTTCTTATGTCAAAGCCTCTTTGAATCCAGAGCTTTTCTTACGTGCAGCCAAAGGCATCCTATGGATATAGCATGTATTTTCTGTCTCCATTCTGACTTAGGGTTTCCACCTAGCTATGGTAGACTCCTTTTCACAAGAGGTGGCGTCTGTTTGTCTTCCCTTTGAGGCTAGGCCAGGCTTTTGACTTGCTTTGCCTGATGGCATGCGGCAGAAGTGATGCTCAGCCAGTCTGAGTCTAGCCATTAAGAGGCCTGGCGCCGTCTTCCTTTGCATTCTTGAGATCGAGCTGCCATGTAAGAGGCGTGGGCTACCTGTTGTACTCTGTGAGGAGGAGTGAGACCACCACGACATGGAGAAAGACCCTGGGAGACAAGATGCCACCTTTGGCATTTGATTCCCAGTTGAGCTCCCAGTGGAACGCAGCAAAGGATGGGACCCAAGTGAGGCCAGAAGAGGAATCATCCATCTCAGCCCCGGACAACCCACAGAATCATGAGGAGTGACAGACTGATGTTGTTGTAGGTGTTTGAAACCATTAAGTGTTATGATGGTTTACTACAACACAACAGACAGCTAAGTCCATCCACAGATCACAGCACAGACGCTACACAGAAATGTATTAGGTGCAACTTCCAGCCACTAGACGTCTGAAGCTATTTTTCACGAGCTGAATTTGCTAGGGCTGCCATCACAAAGTACCACAAACCAGGTGGCTTGCAGAATAGAAAATGATTGTCTCGCAATTCTGGAAGCTGGAAGTCTGAAATCAAGGTGTTGGCAGGGTTGATTCCTTCTGAGTACAGGATCTTTTCTAAGTGTCTCTCCTTGGCTTGTAGATGGCTGTCATTATGTACACATGATGTTCTACTTTTATGCATGTTGGTCTCCACGTTCCCCTCTTTTTATAAGGACACGAGTCATATTG